AGGCAGCGCAGGGCAGACTGAGAGGCTGGGGGGCACCTGGCCTCCCCACGCCCAGCAAAGCGAGCGAGTGGGGATACTCCTGGTCCTGCGCCCCCTCCCACGCCCCCACCTCAGCCTTGCCTGTTGGCCCCGGCGAGGCTGGCGGGTGCAGATGGGCTGCGGGCACTGAGCCCTCTTGTTTTCCCCACTCCAGGAAACCCGAAGAGCTGAAAGACCTCGCGCCGGGCACCAACCCCCCTTTCTTGCTGTTCAACAAGGAGCTGAAAACAGACTTCATTAAGATCGAGGAGTTCCTGGAGCAGACCCTGGGCCCACCCACGTAATTGCAAAGCTCGCTCCTTCCGCCTTTCGGGGCCCAGCAGGCACGCCGCAGCGTTGCGTAGTGCTCAGCCGATTGGGAAACCGAGGCAGGGTGCTGGGAGGTGCCCGAGAGCAGCTCCGGGAGGCAGCTGGTCCCCACCCAGCACCCTGAGCTGTGCTCTGCGGGGCCGGGGCTGCAATGCTGAGGGGCTGCGTCCCCCGGGAAAGGCGTGGATGGGGCTTCAAGGGGACGGGGATGGGCTAGGACGGAAAACGATGGGAGGAAATGAGCCGGCCCCTTGGCGCAGGCAGGGCTGTGGGCGAGAGGGGAGCAGGGGAAAGTCCCTGCAGGTGTGGGGACCCCCGGGAGGTAGTGGGCTTGCAGCTGGCCATTGGTGTCGAGGGGGAATGTGAGACCCCCTTTGCCCATTTGCACCCGGTGCGCTCAGCTGAACAAAAGCAAATGTCCCTGCTAGAACGCAGCAGCGCAGATGGCCCAAAGGGCTGGGGGGGGACGTGGGGGCTGTCCCCCTGCGCTCGTGCGGGGCACTGCCCACAGCCCCCATGCCAGGCCGCTCTGCGCCCTGTGCCTCTGCAAGCCCTCCCGCCGCCTGCGAAAGAGGAAGCTTCAGATGCATTCATCATCCGCCTCCTCGGACATGTCGACCCTCGCAGGGCACCCTGGAACGCACCAGCGAACAAGAGGCTGTTCCCGAGGAAGTCACGGGAGCTTCTGGCTTCCCAGGGCCCCTCCTGTGGTGCCGTGCTGGGCCGGAGCTGCCTGCAGGCAGAACGCTGCTCGGGGGCTCTGCTGTCACCAGCGTCCCCAACCCGTGGAGCTTCTGCCCTGTGATGTTCCCCTAGCACGCACCCAAATAACACAGCTCCTGGGGCGGCAGCTGCGGTAATTCAAAGCGCCACCATGCCCCCACAGCCAGCTGAATGCCACCTCCATCCCCCAGTGCCAGCCCTGGGCACTGTGGCCTCGGAGATAACGCAGCCGAGGACCACGTGGCTGAATCTCTGCCCCTGTCCTTCCCTGCACTGACACGAGTGTCTCTTTAAAGGTACCCGCACCTGAGCCCCAAGTATAAGGAGTCCTTTGACGTGGGGAGCGACATCTTTGCCAAGTTCTCGGCATACATCAAGAACCCGCGCAAGGAAGCAAATATCAGTAAGCAATGCGGGCGGGGGCTGCGGGGCTGGGATCTGCCATGCTGCGGGGCCGGGGGGGAAGAGATGCTTCTGTCTGCGGGCAAATCCTGCCGCCAGGTCAGGGCTCCTGCTGCCCTCCCCACCAAAGCCTCCTGGGCAAGCAGAGGAGTGGGCAGGAAGGGTGAGGGTCGTCCTGTGCTCTGCCGGGATAACAGCCCTGCGTGCCGGCCCTGGGGAGAGCAGGTCCTGGAGGGGAGCGTGGGGAGATGCTGCCGGGGTGCCCTGGGAGCGGGGACTCTGGCCAGGGTCCCGTGCTGTGCGGCACCGGTGTGGCCCTGGGGGCTTTGCCCCTGTACGCAAAGCCTGGGAGAGGCTCAGCCGCCCTGGCACAGCCCTGGGCTCCCAGCACAGCCCTGGGCACCAGGCTAACGGCACGTGTTTCCCTGCCCACCCAGATTTGGAGAAGGCCCTGCTGCGGGAGTTTCATCGGCTGGATGTCTACCTAAACACTCCTCTGCCCGAGGAGATTGACCAGGACAGCGTGGAGGACATCACTGTCTCCAAGAGGAAATTCCTGGATGGAAACGACCTCACGCTGGCTGATTGCAACCTCCTGCCCAAACTGCATATCATCAAGGTAACGGCACCAGCCAAGGTGGGGGCACCCACTCCAAGAGGGAGTGACCCCCGCCGGTGATGCAAAGATGGGGCTGGGGGTCCCCTATTTGTCCACCCCCCCGCAAGCCAGAGAGCAAATCTTGCCCAGGTCTGGGAAGTCTCAGCCTCCTCCTCCTCTCCTCTCTAGATCGCAGCCAAAAAGTACCGTGACTTTGAGATCCCAGCGGACATGACAGGCGTCTGGCGCTACCTCAACAATGCCTACGCCTGCGACGAGTTCAGTCACACGTGTCCCGCGGACGAGGAGATAGAGCACACCTACGCCAGCGTCGCCAGGAAGATGACCTAACCCCACCACGGGGCACGCCGGCAGCGCTGCCCCTGGCCGAGCCCTCCACCTCCGCAGTCCTGACATAACCAAACCCCGGCCGAGGGCGGGACTGGAGGGGGTTTACGGCATCATCGCTACCCCCCGCCTTTCAGAAATAGCGCCTTGCTTCACAGCCCCCTGCCGCCCCCTCCTCCTCCTCTGCCGGCCGGCTGCAGCCCCTGTGCACCCTCCGTGCTGGCGGCGAGTACGGACCGGTCCCTGCGTGGCTGCAGGGCCAGCTGCACCCCTACTCCCTGAAAACGGGTCTCGTGGCCTGTGACCAGGCATCATGGGAAGAGCCGAGCGCCAGCCTTCTGCAGCAGCAGTTTGGTGGAAGAGATGAGGATCCCCCAGCAAGCAGGGGGGCAGTGCTGCCTCCCCATCAGCTGCTGGGGCTGCTCCGCTCTGCCAGCCCCCCCTGTCCCAGCCATTCTGTGCGCTCCGGGAGAGGCGTCCTGGGATCCCAGCACAACACCCGGGCTGGAGCAATTTGAATTCGCCCTGTCGCCCTTCCATGCAGGACCCGCAGCCCGTGTTTGGGCAAGCCGTCTCTTCCACCAAGGCGCCCAGGTTCCCCCTGAAGACACCGCAAGTCTCTGCCCCGGGTAGTTTACCACAGCGACAAATTGTTCTCGCTGCGAGAGCATTGTAATGTGCATCTAAGTCCCCGTTAGGACATGGCGGAAGGAAGACGCTGGGGATGATTCCTGGCATGAAAGTACCGGGACCTACTGTGAAAGGGAGGGAGCGGAGCGGGGACTGGCGAAGGGCTGAGGCTCAGGGCATCCCTCCCACGTGTGCCAGCGCCCAGGGCCACGTGCTGCTGGCTGCAAGGTCCCGCCTGTCTCCTGTGAGCTAAGAACCCTGTCCCTGCCTCGCAGAACACTGCAGGAGACGCGGCCACGTGCAGCTCCAGCCCTACCACCCCCCCCGGCCCCCACCAGCCCTGGGGTGGGGATGCTGCCTGGCTCAGAGGGGGAGGCATGGGGTAGGGCTCCCGTCCGGCTTCCACACCCCAGTACCGGGCAGCCTGAGAGCGCAGGCAAAAGCTGCTTTGCAAAGCACCGTGTCTGTAGGAGACACGTGGGCAGCTTTGGTGCTCCCTGGCTCAGCGTTGTGCCTTCCCGTCCAGTGTTGCTGATGCCAGAGGAGTCAAAGCCACTCTGCACAGCCGTGACATCCCATCCTCCCCCATCTGACACCTCCAGCTCCCCCAGGGGCTCCTGACAGAGCCCGTGAATTCAGCCAGCCCTCCCCAGCCAGCCCACGGGCAACAAAATACTGTACAGTGAGCGTGGTGGGTCCTGCGGGGACATGCGGCGGCAGACCCTCCCCTCCAGCCCTCACTGCCAGCTCCCTCTTTGCACTAAAAGGTGTGTCCTCGCGAGCCTGCCTCCGAAAGCGTTGGGTTTGGGGGCTGGTTTTGTTATCCATGGCGTTTGGTTTGTTTGTTTTTTTTAAACTAAGAACAGCAATAAACTATATTTTAATACGCCTCTCTTGTGTACTGTCAGTGCATGGGCCAAGGCCACCCGGCACAGAGGGAGCTGCAGGGGGTGGAGGGGGCTGCCCTGTGGTGGAAACCCCTTGGAGATTTAGCATAAGCGAAGCTGTAGCCCCCAGCCTCCGCCGCCCTGGATCCCTTGGTCACTCTCTACCCCAAGTCACGAGCACCTCCACCCCAAGCCCCCGCTTGCCATGGCCTCTTTGCAGGCCAGTGGTGCGTTGGGTCCCAGCACCCGCTGGGAGCTGGGAGGTCACCTCTCTTGATGTGTTGCCGAGGGGCTTGGTCTGTCCGGGTAAATCCCTGGCTCTGGAGTTCACCCTCTGCCACCATCGTCCAGAGGACTGCGTCAAGGTCTTCTACCTGCTGTGGCACAGCAGCCCCATCACGCCTGCGCAGCGCCCAGCTGGCACGTCCCCCTTCCCCTCACTGCCAGACCAAAAAAAACCAAACACTAGGCACATGGCTACGCCCAAGGCAACAAGACCCTTGCTGCCTGACTATGTTTGACTGGAAACCAGCTGGTGTGTCAGGGCCTTCCCAGCATCTCACCCTTCCACCCGTCCCTCCTCCCGTGCCTGCCTGTGCGCAGCCCCCAGGAAGCTCGGCTCTGGGACCTGAGCATTCCCAAGCACTTGGCCTTGCATTTCCTGTGCCCCGGACTCAGGGTCAAGCTGCTAAAGCTCTGGAAGTCCCCGTGAGTCAGCCAGGCGACGAGGGGCGCCTTGTGCCTGCTCGTTTCCCAGCAGCACCGGGCAGCGTGCCGCGCCGGGGCCCCTTGCAGGGGCTGCGCAAGCGGATCACGGGGCCGGGGTTGTGCTCTCCCTCAGGGCTCAAGCTCTGCCCAAGTGGCTTTTCCTCCAGAATCAGGAAGCCCCAAGTGTCCAAACCAGTGCTTACCCTGCTGGTCAGCGCTAGCACGTGTCCACCAGGACCACAGGGTGGATGCAAATGGCTGTTCTCAGCCCCAAGCCTACTGATGCTGGGGCTCAGCCAGGGTGAGCAGTACCTGCTTCGGAGGCGCCGCAGGGACAGTCCCTGTGAAATCTCGGTGGGAGAGCTACGTTTCTCAGCCTCTTGCGTTGCCTCCTCTAGCGGGGTGGGACATCAAGGACCCATTCCTGAGGAACACTAGGCAGGATGCTTGGGAGCCCGAGCATCTGGTTTTTAACCAAGAGGCTGACCATGACCCTGCTGACCACAAATCAGGGAGATGGCAGCATCTGCGTGCCCAGGTACAGGCGCTCATCTTTCATGAAATGGCTGAAGGCTCATTAACAGGAGATCATTACTTCTGCAAATCCCTGTCTGTCAGGCACAGATCAGACTGGGAGACAGACGAGGCGAAACGTTCACCCACCCCAACTGGGCACATGGCTCAGCTGGGACCCTTCTCTTAATAAAACCCCAAATCCAGCTGGTTTTCCAGCTGCTCCCATCCCCTGGATGCCAGGTTTCATGCCATGCAATGAAAAACCCCGGAGGCAGGCGCATCACTTCTGCTGTCGGGACATGGGCGGGAAGCACAGCCCGGGGAGGGTCACCACGGGGAGAAGGCGTGGACCTCTCTCTCCAAACTCATGCGTGCCCTACCCGAGACGGTGTGCACCCAGCTCGGGGGCAGCTCCGCCTGTGCTGTGCGTCACTGGGAGCATGACCGGTCTTTGTGGGCACAGAGCTACAGATTAGTGCCAGGGGAGCAGGGAGGCGTCGAGCTGACCCACCGAGTCCATTGCTTGCCCACAGACCAGAAATTCCTGGACGCATGCATCGGGCGGATGGGGAGCACAAGGACCGGCCACATCTCACAGAGCCTGCGCCCGCTGCTGGGACGAGCGGGGAGAGCCGTCAGGCTCCTCCATCCGGCACAGGGGCGATCACCCCGGGGGAACCAGGGGATCTGGTGACAAAGCTGGGTGACACATGGCTCCGCCAGCCCCGCTTCAGCAGGGCGCCCATGGCACCTCCTGAACGCAGACACTTGCCGTACGTCCCCAGACGAGGGCACTCCCAGACCATCCCATGAAGCGGGAACAGCTTCGCTCTGCAGCCTCCCAGCCCCAGAGCTCAGCCCTGGGGTGACCCGAGCATCCCCATCGCCCCTCGGCGCTCAGCACTGGGGTCCCAACCTGCTGAGCCACAGGGAAAGCTCCTGCCTGGGGAGAAACCACACCGGTCTGAACCAACAAATTCACATCTCCATAGACTACCAGCCCTGCAGCCCTCTCGCTCCACATGCGCTACGCTCCGTCTCCAGCTTCTAGGGCTTCTGCAATCCCCACCCACACCCCGGTGGGCTTCCCAGCCGAGCCGAGTGGAGCTGAGCCGAGCCCACCCCTCTCCTCCCGCCAGCCCAGCGCTGGGGGGAGAGGTGCAGCAGGAGCCGGTGGCCTGGGTCACGGTGCGGCTCAGACCTGTCAAACCACAAAGCCGTTTCGGGCCGCGGGATGGGGTCTGGCAGGACAGCCCTAACGCTGCTGCTTCATGGGGACCCACCTGGAGCTACAGAGCCATCGCAAAGGCACCTTGCGTGGGGGTGGCTGGGTAACAGGGCCTTGCTCAGCGAGTCTGGAGCCCCAGCGTCCCAGGTCCCTTGGCAGAAGCGCAGGCAGGCGCCGGGCAGCGCTTGGGACGGCTGCAAGGAGAGCGGGCAGAGCAGGGTGGGCACAGGGCCACGGCAGATGCGGGGGGTGGGGGCTGCAGCCCGGGACACCGCTCGCTGCATCTCTGCCTCCCATGGCTTTCAGAGGCAAACAGGGATCTTCCTTCGTGCCAGCAGCCTGCAAAAGATGAGGGTTTAATTTTTCCCTGTCATTTCGGGAGCTGCCGTCTCCCTCGTGTTCGTTAGGTGCTACGTTTCCTATGTGGTGGCTGCAAAAGCCCCATTAGCCCCCGCATAGCAATTTTCCACTCTCCAATACTTCTATAAGCTGGCAGCTCAGCTCTCTGAGAATTAGTAATAAGAAATACCCTCTTGCATAGTCCAAAAATTGCTGTTTCTAATAACGAGCTGTTTTCAGCTGCGTTCCTCTCACTGCTTTGATCTGGTACCGGCAGAAGCTGAAAACACCGTCAACAGCACGGAGAGCAGCCAGGAATGAGCCCATCGATCATGGTGAGTCAGAGCTTTCACAAACCTCCGCACCAGATGCCTCCAGGCACAGCATGCTGGCCACGGGCCTGAGGCCAGCAGGAGAAGCAGCGGCCGAGCCCCCGAGGTGATGGGTGCTGCAGAGCTGGGCTGGCTGTCTGGGGACCCATGGCTGGCTCGCCCATCTCCGGGCTGCGGGGGGAGCGTGGGACGCCTGCAAGCACCAGGCGAGAGCCACACGCCTGAGCATGGCGGCAGCGATGGAGGAACCCGGCCGGGCACCCTGCTCCCAGCCAGCCCCAGGACCCGGCGCCATCCTCCAGCACAGCCTCATCCTGCTCAATGCGCAGCGCCCAGCCAGGCAGAGCAGAGCGGGGCGAAACCCAGACCCGCTCCCCCCCGGCGCTGGGCTGTGCTGGGTCTCCCTTGGGGCATGCTGGGACCTCACCCCCGCAGCGAGCATCGCATCTTCTTGCGGCGGCTCTGCAGAGCCCCACATGCCACTCGCACCTCCGAGGTGAAGCAAAAAAAAACCACACCCCTCTCACATCCACTCGGAAACTTCAGCTGCTAAAATACCATCTCGAAATGTCACGAGCCCTTTGCCTTTTTCCATTCCACATGAACACCTCTGTTTCACACAGAACAGGGACATTTCAGCTGCTTCAACCGCCCCCTGGGCCAGGGTGAGTCCCTGCTGCTGGTGAGTAACTCGCCTGAATCACCGGCGGGGATCCCAGCATGGTCGCCCTGCCAAAAACTCAGAAAAGAGCTGGTTTTCTTTTGAGCTTTAAGGACCCGGCAGGCTGTTACAAAAGCACCGGCTGTGCCCCGGCGCGAGCCCAGTGTCCAACACCAAGGTGGCCATGGGAGCCAGTTCAGTCCCCCCGCGCTGGGCCAGCGCATCCCAGCCAGCAGCCCAGGTCTTGGCTGGTGCATCACGGGCTGGATGAGCACGATGCATGCACGGCTCCTTGCTTGGCCTGGAGGACCTCAAGCTCAGGACGCGGCTCCTTCCCGGGGTCTAATGGCACAAACAGCAGGGCAGCTTTCACCAACACTCCTGCTAAACGGTTCCTCGCAAATGCCCTGCCACCATGTGATGACCTTCAGGAGCAGTGGTGGGGCTGGAGGCTGCACTGGCCCTGTCGGGGATGAGGCGGGGAGGAGTCAAACAGGGCTCCACACTCCTAGGGCTTTGACTGTGACCTTGAGCCACATCAGAGACTACAAAGCACAAGGAAGATGGTGACCAGACGCCACAATGAACAAAGGGAAGAGAGCAAGCCCTTGGCATGTCACCTCTGGCCACTCCTAAACAACGGCCCCCGAATCCTTGTCTTGCTGGCCAAACACCCCCACCGCCAAGGGCAGCCTGGGACTGCTGTGGGATGCTCAGAGCGGCACGTTCTCCACCTTCATACGTTTTCAAGGCCAGACTGGAAAAGACCTAATCAACCTCGTCTGGCTTTGGGTTGCTGTCCCTGCTTTAAGCAGGGGGCGATTGCTACCAAGGCTCCCTCCCAACCTTGACCTGCTGCGTGGGGACGTGGCATTGCTTTTGCCGAGCTCGCTGTCCATGGCAGTGCGGACATGCCTGCCTTCCCGCAGAGCTGCAGCACCGCTCCGGACCTCAGCTCGCAGCGCGAACCTGCACCTGCCCAATGCCACCCGTGCGGAGGCAGCCTGGCATCACCCGTCTCCAGGCGGGCAGGGCACGGATGCTCCTGTGCAGCCGGGCGGTGGTTCTAGGGCTCCCCCCAGGCTGCCCGCTGCGATACCGGCCGGCTGCAAATGCGTTGCTGAGACTGCTGCGTGAGCACATGCGTGGCCGAAGGAAAGGCAGCGGTCCAGCTCTGACGGAGCTCAGCACTCCAACACAGGCCATAACGAATGTAGTTTACAAGGCCAGACCAAGAGGATCAAGAGGCTGTGCTAGAATACAGACCGGAGGAAGGTGCAGAGCTGCGGCGGGAAAGGGAATAAGCTGTTCCCTGGGGAAGAGGACAGGAAACCACAACATGGAAAAGTGCGACGCATCCTTGCGGAAACCCTTAGTGGAGAAAATTGACCCTTTGCGGGGAAAGAGCAGGGTCTCCATGCCCAGGGGTCTTAAAGCAGAAGGCAGGACGCACACCTTGGGCGCTTGCCAAGGAGACCGATCGCGGTGAGGTTCCTGTTCCCCCACGGGAAGGACGGCATGGCCGTGGGGCCGCAGAGGAGGGAAAGCAGACACATGGTTTTGGCTCCATGAGCTTTGGCAGAGCGGTCACAACTGCAGATCAAGCGCCTCAAAAAGCTTCAAGTTAAAAAGAATAGGAATTGGGATGGCAGGAGGGAAGGTTGGCGTGGAACATTTTGCTTGAGGATTTGCAGATTGCAACGCTTGGGCTCCCATGTTTGCCTCAAGGCTTCAGCCCCGCTGCAATCTGCCTGATTTTAGCACAGGGGAACTCTTCTGGCTTGGCTTTTGGTTTGCTTTCTAAACACCTGCACATTGAAAAGGCCATTTCACGTGACCCAAAATGATGCCAGATGCCCAAACTTTCATCCTATCAAAAGGAGAAAGTGAAACAAATTAAGAAAATCAGACTCTTGCTTCAGCGGAGCCTGCGAGGAACTTTGTGGGCAGCAAAGAGCGTGTGGGTGACACGTGTGTTCCTTCCAGCAGCTCTTGGGACTCTTTTCTTTTTTAAACTCAGCTCAGTCTGTTTAACGCACCACATACCCTCACATCATCGCTGAGAGAGGTTTTGCTAAGGAGATGCACAAAGCAGAGCTCCCTGCTTTGAAGCAGGGACCAAGCTGTCCCAGCAGCATTGCTGCCCGGGGAGAGGACGACTGTCCGCCCCAGTTCCGGAGCACCCGAGCGGTGCCGCCCCACGACCCCCGTGGCTGCCAGAAATCCGCAGCCGGTGTTGCCGCAGATCTCCGGCTGAGTCAGCCGCGGCGGCGGGGGAAGAGGAAGGCTGGCAGCCCTGGAGGGAGGGCAGAGCCGCCCCGGGGGGTTGCGTGGCCGGGGCGTCAGGGGTGACTCACAGGGTGGGAAAGTGGCCCCGTGCAGCCCCGCTTTGCCCAATAGGTTCCCCAGGGCTGGCAGCGCTGCCCCCTCCGTCCCCTCCACCAGCCCCCGGGATGCTGGACACCGATTTCTCACCTGTTCCCAAATCCGGCTTAAATCTGGTGAATCCAGGGGCCTGGTTTTGTCCCCCAGAGCTGGAACCCACTGCAAAGTGCGCCGCCGCCTGACACTGGGGCAGAGGGTTTCCCCTCAGCTCCGTGGCTGCAGGCATGGCCTTACGAACGCACGCCGGAGAGATGCCGCAGGGCAGGGCTTCTCAGAAGCAAATGGCCCCGGTGCGGGTAGAAGGACGAGCAAAGCTGCCCAGAGGCTGCTGAGCAAGCGGCCTTCTCCCGTGGGACAGCGGCACGCAGGCCAGACACGGGCGCCAACTTCTCCCAGGGAAACCCTGCGTTTTCTCAGCACCTTTCCCAGATGCTGCTCAGGCGGGGCAGCGTGGGTTCTGTAACACAGAAAGAATAAGCACGGAAGGCACTTTTCCATAATAAATTAGTGTTATTTAAAAAACAGCTCCAGTGCCTAATCAGTACTTCCAGACAAGAAAAAAAAATAAAAAATCCCCTCTTTCATTAAAGAGGTCTATATACGAGCACATACATAAATCTGCATTAGTATATATACTGTACACACACAGATGCATAAATAGGTAAGAGTCTTGGGGTTTCGACTTGGTATGCATTCCTTACGCTTTGGTTCAAGAGCAGCAAAGGGAAGCTCTGAAGATACTGATCTCGCCTGTCCTTGGCAGCCGTGCTGGGAGCGTGCCCACGCCTGCCCGCGCGGGCGCCTGCCCCAGCCCCGTCCCCAGCGAGGCACGGGCAGGCCTGAGCAGGCAGCCGTCGTGGCCGGGGCTGCTCCGGCAGCGCCTCGAGCCCCGCGCCGAGCTGTGGTCAGGGTGCCGGGAGCTCCCCGCCTGCCCGCTACGGCTCAGCCCCCACCGGGGGACGCAGCTCGTAGCCGGAGAAGGCAGCGGCCGGCAGGGTGGTGGGGGGCAACCGGGGCAGCTGGCAGGGGCTGCGGAGGGGGACGCCCGGCGCCGCCTGCTCCGAGTCGCCCTGCTGCGCGGTGCTGTCACCCGGCTGTGGCTCAGTCCCCCGGGCGTGCAGGGGCTGGAGAGCACGGGCGAGCTGCCCCCCGTCCTCCTCCTCCTCGCTGGCTGACAGCTTCACGGAGCCGAGTGGTACCCAGTGCCCTGCCATGCCGGGGCTCTCCTGCGGGTCCTCCCGGCGGATGCTCCCGCCCAGCGTGGGCGGCGGAAGGCCGCTGCCTGCTGCCAGGGCTGGGGGCTGGCATTCAGAGTAAAGCTGGAGGCGCAGGGAGAGCCATGTCTCCGATGTCTGGTAGTCCCCGTCACCTGCGTAGCTGTCTCTGGTCAGTCCCGCTGCCAGCGGCTGCTCCAGCTCTTCGTCCCTGTCACGCGCCTCCCCATCCTCCTCCTCCAGCCGCGGTGGGAGCCGGGAGCCCAGGGCACACCCCAGCGGGCTGTGGGTGCGGGATGGGTCCCTTCCCTCGCATCGGTCTTGCCCAAAGCCGTTGGCACAGTACCCGCTCACGTCCCGGGAAAGGCTTTCTTCGAGGAGCAGCGGGATGGCGGGCATGGCCTGCTCAGCTGCAGGCGGCCCATGGGGCGGGAGCACGGTCGGCAGGAGCAGGGCGAGCGCATCCTCCTTGAGCTCAAGGGTGGGCACCCTGATGGCCACCACGCTCAGCTCCCCATTCAGGAGAGCCTGCTGGGAAACAAGCGGTGAAGCCGTCAGCCTCAGCTTGCCAAAACCTCTGCCAGCCTGGGGGTGACGAACCGCGCACCCCAGGGAAGGGGACGGTCCCGGGTTGCCCCTCGGCTGCGCTCACGCCCGGGAGAAGTGCAGGCAGGGCTCTGCTCGCTGCGGCAGGGGGGCTTGGTGCCGGGGGACCGTCACAGCAGCTATCGCTCTGCTGCTTTTCGAGCTGCGCCCCGGCTGTCTGGGGGAGCTCTCACCCGCTCGGGGACGTGAGCAATCCCCGCGCAGTGCCAAGCGCAGGAACGCAAAGCGTGCTGGCTGGAAGCCAGGCCAGGGCAAGTGCAGCAGCCTGCCGCCCCCTCTCCACGCTGCCGCAGGGGATGACTTTGGCTTAGCAAGCTGGTTTTGTCCCCAGAGCGCTCGAAGGGCTGCTCAGCCTGGGCTGCAGCCACCCCCATCGTGGGGAAACTGGGGTGCAGGGAGGCGCGGGGGCTCAGGGGGAAAGGCTGGTGACTGTTTCCACAGGGCTCAGTCTCGCCAACCCAGAACAGGGTCCCGATCAGCTCAGCAGGGCTGCAGCCCCGGGAGCCTCTCCAAGCCTCAGGGCTGCATTCATCCCAAGGGCAGAGCGGTGAGGGGCTGCACTTCACCCAGGCCAGGCTGTCCCAGGGTAGCAGCTCCACTGTTTGCCTCTCCTCCCCTCTTTCTCCCCTTCAAGCTCTTGTAGATGGACATGCAGCTGAGCAAAACCCAGCCACCTACAGCAGAACGTCCCTAACACCGGTGGCCATGCTCGCAGGCTACGTGCTGCCCGAGAGACCCTCCCCCAGGGCGGGCCATGGCTGGTGGACGCATCCCACCAGTATCTTCTCCCACACAGCAAGGCCTGGGGGTACGGTGGGTCGGACAGCGGGGGAGGCATGTGGGCACTGAGATGGGTTTGGGGGGGCAAGGGGGGGAGGGAAGGGGGGGCTGGGCCG